TGGTGGCTTTCTGCATTTCGCTTTTTGCCATCTGATGCCTACTTCTGTTCTTATTTTTATGCTTTTAGTTCTGCAGTTTTCTGCTTCCTGTGTGTGTTTTTTATATAAATCTTTTGCTTTCTGACTAGTGCTCTGTTCTTCCATTTATATTTTTCTTTTCTCCTTCTTGCTTTCTGCTTTCTTTCTGTTCTGTTTGCTTTCGGTTTCATGGTTTGTTTGTTCTTCGTTCCTGTATTGCTGCTTTCTGCTTGCTGACTTTGTCACGGGCTAGTTGGTTGGTACTTTGTGTTTTTGCTTTGAGCTTCCTGCTTTTGCTTTTGCTGTCTGATTTTCGACTGTGTGTTTAAGCGGCTTCTTGCTTCATGCCTTGTCTGCTACGCTGCAACTGGCGGTTCTGTTTTTGTGGCCATCCATGCTTGCAGTACAAAGCATGATGTATGCGGCAAGGGAAGGGTATTCGGATCATGGTGTTTGCAAGGGGGGGGCATGCGCCGCCCCTCCCCCCCTCACCCCCCCTTTAATCCCCCTTTGAGACCATCCATGCTTGCCGCAAAAATCATGTCATCACCGTGTTTGCAATAGGAGGGTTGTCTGGATCCATTTTGTTTGAACTCGGGAGGGGGGGGGCGCTGCCCTCCCCCCCCTGCCCAACCTCCGTCGCGTTTTGGGGCCATCATGGGCCATCCATGCTCACCTTAAGAAAACCAACACTTAGCCATCAGTATGTAGTAAGGTAGTAAGAGAGGCTGATGTGTATCATGTTGTTTACACATGGCGGTCTGACCTATACCTAGCAGACCTTACGAGCAGCGCAAAACAAATACCAGCCACCAACTTGTGCGAGTCGCATGATGGCTTACAAAGACTGGGCATCTTGAAAACCCTCGAAGGAACTCTTGTGAACTCCGTGAATGCGGGGCCCCCAAAGGTGGAAGAGGCTTATTCTACCGAATCAGGGCGTGACCTAAACTCAGCAGACCCAAGGCAGCCTCGCAATGCATAAACTTCCAAGCATGAGCTTATATGATCTCTCGTGCTGTTTGTGCAGTATGCACAAACCTGGGAACGCGATCGCTGAGCTCAGGCACTTGCAAAGTCAGATTGCCCTCGAAGCGGTATAGCGCAGCGAACCTCTGTCTACCGCGCAATTCCATCGCATCCCAACTAGAAGCCAAGTCCTCAACAAACCCGCGAGTTGCCATTGTTGCTCACAATCGAGCTCTAGCCTGAAGTGTTCCCACATGTTTATCAAAATCGATTTGTGGTGTGGAGCGCCAGCACAGTTTTACTCGAAATCAATCTCTGGCCTGACATGGGGCGTACTCACATCTTTGCCCCAAATCAAGCTCTGACGTGGAGCGTCCTCGGATCATTGCTCAAAACCGGGCTCTGGCGTGGAGCCTTCTCACATTCTTGCTCAAAGTCAATCTTCGTCGTGGAGCGTCTCACGCTGTCTTAAGAACAGAAAATAAGAAAGTCCCGCCAACAAGCAACAAATTCCCCAAATACTTCCCTATCCAATATACGTTCATACTCACAGGCTTACCCTGACTGTGCGCATCACGGAGTAGTCCTTCGGCACAGCGGTCAGAATGGAATCTTCGTGGACCTATCACTCTATGGTCACACTGGGTGCTTCCTTAACAACTGCAAGTTGACAGACAAATTCGCTGCTGTCGATGCGAGCATATGCGGGCGAGCTTGCAGCGACGTTGAAGAATGCAGCTACTGGACTTTTGGCCAGCAGTATGGGATAAAAACATGCTTTCTCCGCCGATCCGATGCAGGCGAGGCTGACAAGCGAGGACATCGGGCGCTTAGGGTGTTTCGTAGGCAGTCCACGAAGAGCTTCCACTGGCATCCGCTTGCCAGGCCGAGCGTTTCTGCCTCACTGGATTTCTGGAACAGCTGACTGCGTCCCAGATAGATTGCCAGATGCCTGGGTTGCGTATCAGACTGCTAACTGTGCTGCGCTTCGAGCCTGCGATGCTGGCAAAGGAGCTCAATGCCCCAATGCAGCTTGTTCTAACACTGGAGTGTTATTCTAGTCTTTGCACTTCGTATTTATTTACGCGATACGGTCGTCATGTTGGACAGACGCTCAAATAAGTGCAAATTCTCTTCTTCTCTGTGGCCGCTCCCCTCAATGTATCTATTTCTTTTGGTCGATATTTAGCATCATAAATGCAGAAAAAGAAAAAATGTCTCTCTGCTGAGTGCCGGTGCATTCCAGGTCGAAGCTGCGATCAACACCTGGATGTTTGCCATTGACCATATGAAACGTGCATTTGCGGGCCGAGTGGATCAAGACACATGGTTTCTCGGCAGCCATACCAACATGCCAGTCATGGAGTAAGGTTTCCAGAGTCCCTTCTCCTGCGACAGCATCCACGACTGGAAGCGCACAGCAGTGAAAGAACTGTGATTTGTAGCTGCCATCGCGGATCCGCCTCAGCTGCTCTTGAAGACGTCGAGCCAAGCCTAACCCCACAACTTCGGAGTCACATCAACCACGCTCCCTTAACACTTCGCTTCGTTGAAGCAGATGCCTTTGCTTGAAGCCGCCGTCCCAACCCAGCAGGCTAAGGCAAGACAAGATGGGAAAGGGAAGAGTGGGAGAGTCCTGTAGGAGCAGTTTTGCTATGGATCTAGACACCTTGAGGCTTTGAGGCCTTGGCGGACTGCAAGCCGTTGTTCGTTGAGATAAGGTCCCACATTGAGCGCATTGGGAAAGAATCTGCAAACTTCCGAGCTGGACTTCATGCTGCGTATCGCCCTAGTGACAAAGACTTCCCGCGGATCATCTACAACAACAGGCCAGCATTCAGGTGACTTTAGCCTAGTCACTCGTTTCATGCTTAGCATGCCTGGAATGAGCCTGCTGTGGACACTGGGATCATGCGTCAAATTGTGCAGGCTGATATTCAACCATTTGGAAGAAGCTCTCTCTTCACAGCGGCAAGGCGTAGCGACAGAGGAAGATGCATCGCTTCCGCAACTCGGATGTCAATACTCTGGCTCTTTGCTACACTTTCCTGCTCTGACAGCTCGTCAGGAACCCGCTACGCTTCGGCAAGCTGTGTGGGAAGTCTTCCTGCTACGAGCTCTGAACTCTCTCTCTCTCTCTCTCTCTCTCCCTCTCCTTTTCAATGATCCCAAGCTTCGACATGAACCTGCTCTTCTTTGCAGATAGAAGGTGTAGTTGAGATGCCTGGCGTGGCATGGCTACAGCTTCGCAAGCCGGGAAACGTAGTTGATACTTGCAGCACCCAGGCACGCAGCACACAAATATGCGCAAGAGCGGACTGCTGTCCGGAAAGTCAGGTGTTGTGTCGTTCCTACATGTTCCTACAACTACCTCGTGACTTGCAAGCTCGCATGGCTCAGAGGATGACTTACATTTCTCACTGCAGTGGCCTTTCCATGCGTGGGGTCTACGCAAAGGCTCTGCCTGCAGCGCTAGGCAGCGAGCTTAGCTTGGCTTCAAATCAGCAAGCTGTTCAATGAAGATCCAGCCATGGCGCGCGAACCCGGCAGTCCCTTGTCGCCCACAGCAGCAATGCTGGACTGCTGTGCTGGTTCACATAACCACCAAGCTTTGCGTGTCTCTGCATGTTTTCTTTCTTGCAGGAGAGGACAGCCAGGCTTTCGGACGAGTCCATTGGTGCGCAGGCGCTGGCCAATAAGGCTATGGGATGCGCTCCTGCTTCCTTCCTGATCTTCCTGTCAGCTGCAGCAGCTTTTGGACTGTTGGCACTTCCAGGCTGAGTCCTCAGAGAATACGCAGCCGGCGATAGTGCAAATTGTGCAAGTTGTGTTTGCCGTGGCTACAGATTATGACATCATCGATGGGACACAGCTGGAACCGCCAAAAGGCTGAGCCTTTGGCCTGCCTAAGACACCCCACGCAGTTTGTCTTTACGAAAGCTGCGATGTTGCAGGTTGTGGAAGGCTTCCTACATATTCTCGGCCACTGTGGGGTGCGGCTTCTTCACCTTTCGTTTTCTTCTGACCCAGCAGTTGATTCCTTTTCCAGGTGCCTCTCACAGAAAAGGAGATCGCTCAGCTACCCCAAATGGAGGAAGACCACATGCGGCGGGCTTACCTGCGCATCCGTGGCCACTTCGCTCCCTGTCGGCCTAAACTACGTGCAGGATTGCTTGCATTCTTGAGAAAATGGACGAGACCTTTCGCGAAAGGCAGCTAGCATGGCCTAAGACTTTAAACTGTTACTAATTGCTCTACTGCTGCAGCCACTGCTCATGCCGCTGCTTCCATTGCGTGCGTCCTCTTTCTATCATCATCATGCTGCTGCTGCTGGTGGTGTTTTGGGCAGGACTTGGAACGGTTGGAAGGGTTCCATGAGTTCAGAGGTTCAAAACCTATTCGGACTGACAGGTGGCTTGTTGTGGGTCAGGTTGGGCAGAGACGGCTGTGAGAGGGGCAATCGATTTAAGGAACGTCAAGGTAATGCGAGGCGATGCAAGCCATCGCCGTGTAGTAGTGTCATGGCGACATCAGACCAGCAACACTTGAGCTGATTTTTGTCATGGCAGTCTGGAAGCAATTGCGGAAGAAATGCTGGCGCTCATCACATCTGTGTTCTGAGCTCAGGGATCCTGTGTGTGGAAGATGGCGTCTTTGTGTCGGGCCGGTCACGCATTTGCTAGTGCCAGGTGTCACGTGAGGCTCGCTCCTTAAACTCGTTGGCACTGCTTGATTCTGGTTGCTTCTCTGAGATCCGACACTGTTCCAGACGCTGAGGTCTGTCTTAGATTCTGGGCAGGAAGAGGATGGGCGTTCTTTAAGCCATTGCAGGTCGTTTGCGGACTTGTGAAGTTTGTCTCAGCTTAGCTCGGCTCTTGCAGGGCTCTGGTGCACATTTGGAAGGAATTTCGATCCAGTGGAATTGAGCAACTACATCCCGCCTTGCTTACATGGGATCTAGGAGTGTTGAGGCCAAAGGGAAGAGCGGCCGTAAGACCTGAGGTAGGCACTGATCGATGGTGCTTGACAGTTGCTAGTTTGGTTGAGTTTGTTTCAATTTGTGAATCAAAGTTCACGCAGTCTACTGCTTGGCACTGGTGTTGAAGCATGAATGCATGTCAGCAGGGCAGATGTGCAACATCGGGATGGACAGGAGATCTTCAAGATGCTCAGCACTGATCCCACGGACATCTGCCAGCAGGTGCTCAGATATTCAGTGCTTGTCGCCAGTCACCAGGCAGGGCAGGAGGAAGCGCAGTCACCTGCTCATTTCACAGCAAAACCCTCCCCCTGGTGAGGTTTCCCACCTTCATCGGTGCCAAGACACGACCTGGGCCCAGATATTGGCCTCGGGGCGGGTGCAGCTTTGCAGGCTAAGCGGCTAAACCAAAAGCTGAGGTGGGTTGGAAATATGGAAACTCGGCTTGACCGTTTGATGCGTGCTGCAGAGATTGCTGGAGCAGCGCAGCAGCAGCTGCTAGTCGTAGAGGCCATGTGCAGCATGGTGGAGGGCAGGATTGCTTGCCGTTGCACCCGTTGGCAAAAAGCCGTTGGTGCAGTTTCTGGCTTTGGGCTCAAGACCGTGTGTCGAGCAGTGTAGTTCGAAGCTGTGTGGCAACTCGGCACAGTTGGGTGTTTGCTCAGGCAGCTTGGCCCGCACCGTGCCAGCTGAAGCTGAGGGCTTTTCCGATGACGTCAAACCGTGCCTCCTGTTCGCTGGCCATTCCGCCTAGAACGTTCCCTGACTTGACATTGCCAGAAGCGGGAGCAGAGTATGTAGCCGATCGATTAAGGTATGGCTGCCCGAAGGGCAAGTTTTGGTCTGGCGTTGGCGAGCAGGGCCCCAAAGATGCAAGCCTCAACCAACTGCTTACCATCCATGCCCTTCATCAAACTGATTTCTGCTAGTACGGTAGCTGGCTCAGCCAGTGCCAAGTTTTTGGCAGCGTTGATGATTGCCATCGCAAAGGCTGCAGCGTTATCCTCCGCTTTGGGAGGATACCGACGGGGTTTTTGAAGAGTGCGCTGACTCGACCCTGCAAACAAGACGCCCTGGTCACGTTACGGGACTGCAGGTACTTGAATGGCCCTTCTTTGTCGCCGTCGCGGCACCAGAAGTCACTCGGGACGAGCCTTGACTGAAAGACATTGCGTGCTAGGGCGCGGTGCGGGCGTGACTGAGGTCGAGGGGCCTGATGGAGCTGCACTATGATTCCATGCGCAAGAAAGCCCAGGCCCGTATGCGTGCAGCTGCCTCCTTTGTTCTTCTGTTATGGATGGTCAGAGTTGCAAGGAGCGGGCTAAATTCCAAACGCAATCGGAAACTCCAAGCATGGGTAGGGTGCCAGACTCGGAAATGGTTTTCCACAGCATGTTGTGCTTGCTGTGCTGCGTACCTCGAAGGCCTACTCAGCATGCTCCGGTTACAGTGCCTGTAGCTGCATGAGATTATTGCAGACATTAGGAAATATATTTTGGGATTTGACCGAGGCGGTTTGATCCCTGGCAAGCTCTCAGGCAATGTCGCTGCAAGCTTGGGTCAAGACTCATGTCGTTTGTCGTTCGTGCTGGAGAGATGTCCTTCTGACGCCTCTGTCTGGATCGCCCAGGTTGGCTGCACTTTTTCCGAAGGCAGCAAACTTGCCAACGACCGGACGTCAGTTCAGCGCAGTTTGCGCTCAGGGTAGAAGCCCTGCTCGTCAAACCAAGGAGACTCATGGCCACAAGTTTCCGCGCCCAATGTCTGGAGCAGCTTGGCCTTTCAAACTGTCTGCCCCAACGGACCGTTGCTCAGTAGCTGAAGGTGAAATGTAGACCAACAAGAGTCCTTGGCTGGGCTAGACAAGTCTGTCCAGAGAAGGACCATTGGTGAACTGGTGTGGCAGGAAACATGGGAAAGAGAGCTGGCGTGCAAAAGTGGTTGTCCAGAACCTTGAAATCCAGAATTTAGCCTTGGCACGGCATATGGCACGGAAATTCCAAACAAATCGCGCTGCATTATGTGTGGTCTGACTTGAAGTTGTTGCAGTTACTAGTGATGAGGTGACCTTCACCTTGGGCTTCCGCAACGGCTCTGGGAGGCAATTCGTGAAAAAGGAGTGACATGTAACATGTATATTGTTTTGCATGGGTACCCACGCTGAGGCTACGCACCAACAGTCTCCCGAACCTGGAAGACAACAGGTCGTCCGCGAGCAGTTTGTATTCTCATAAGGTGCTTCTGAGGATTTGGGAGGGGCCTTGTGCTACCGCCGAAACATAGGGACGGCTACATCTCAGAGCTACATTTTGCATCTCGCAGGTTTATCAGCACCAATTTCCCTCGCTGGCCAAGGTCAACTCTCTCTCAGGCTGGCTGGGGTGCGTTGAAGCAGTGAGCGCTGTGGAGGCAACCTGGGACAAGACAGATCATTGGGGCGCTGCTACTGGCATAGAATGCACATACCTCCAAGATCCTCTAAGGCAGATGATGGTCGTATGCCGTGCCTGAAGCCAAGTTTCTTTTTTACACAATTCCATTTGGCACCCTGTTTGAGGGCAAGAACACGTTTTCTAATTTCGCATGCCCATGTTAATTGCCCTAGAGGCCCTAGAGATACTAAACCACACCCTGCAGAGGTGAGATTAAGTTGCAAAGCTTGTTTGCTGCACGAAGCTTGGCACGACTTCTTAGTTCGCCCTTTGGCCAACAACGCTGATATGGGATGGGCGAAAGTGGTCACAAACTGTCATGTATAGTAAGAGATGCTGCATTTTCACGACATCTTTCAAATCTACTTTGGCACAGCTTGTAGATGGCGTGTGCCTCCCACTGTCCCAGGCTCAGAGGCCCAACCCGTGTGTTGCAGATGCTCGAGGAGTCTTCAACGCCTGGCCTGTTGGCATGTTCAGACTTCGATTTGCATGGCTGAGAGGAGCATGTTGCGAAATGCCTTCCGTCGTGAGACATATTTGCTCTGTAGGTCGTGGGGCCGCCAAAGGCGAAGCCCTGACTTCAAGTAGCTCTAATTCCCATTTGGCGGGAGAGGCTGTCATGTGAGTTGTTTTGTGCGGGAGCTCTTGCCGACATCAAGACCACCGTGGCAATCGTGAAGAGTTTTGGTGCTTTTTTTGCAATTGACATTTTTGGCAGACCAAGAGCCCGTGCGCGACCGTGGGGGAGAAGCCGAGCTATGCCGCTTCGGACAAGAGCCAATCTTTGCAGACCTTCAGTTCATGTAGGCCACGGCTGTTTCTGAAGTGGACGCTGTGGCACCGCCCTGTAAAAACTCATGTGATAGCCCACTGCTGGGAGATGGCACAAAGTGCTGCATGGAATTCACGCTTTCGGCCTCCTAAGCTGTTTTCCCTGCCACTTCCTGAAGGTGGTGATGCAGAATCAGCATTTGGAAGCTATTACAGCTTCTTTGAATAAAACATTGCCACGTTGAGCGCAGCCAGCACAGACTTGGTCTTGCAATTGCTGAACACATTTGCAGGCCCAATTGGGATGCTTTGGAGGCCAGCAGAAGAGCAAGGTGAAGAAGGCTGCCGTCTGTCTAGTTGTCTTTGATTGCTCGGGATTGCTGCTGACCGGTTCCTTACCTTGATGATTTGCAACAGGTCTTTTTGCTTCTTGGTGGTTGTTGTTGTTGTTGTTGCTGTTGTTGTTCCCCACATTTCTGTGGGGTTCTAGTTTTCTAGATGTGGCGTCGCCCGCTGTGCCCGCGTGCTCTTCCGTCGCGCGCACATTTTGGACGCGCCCTTGTTCGCTTGAAAATCGCGCTCTCACTCGGAGCATCCTCAAAAACTCGTCGTTCTATGTTGTGTGTTGATTCTCAAAAATAGGGGACCCTACCTTTAAAGTAGTCAGTATTGGTAGAGGGGTCAAAGTGCCAGGTTTTGCTTGCTCATCAATGATTGCAGAATTGCACTCCTGTTCGAGACAGTCGCGTTTTTTGCGTCGTGATGGTCTTGATATCGTCAAAAATCGCCCTTCGTGCGGAGCATCCTCGAAATTACGTCGATTTATCTTCATCAGATTCGATCAAAACGACGCTCCCGTGCGGAGGATTCGGAAAATTCGGATCATTTATGAACGATGATGTCGAGGAGTTCTATACCAATTCTATACCAAACGAGTCCCGGTGTATTTCGTTCTCTTGGTTCAAAAGGGCCCTCTTCAGCGGAGGCCTCCGGTATAGCTTTGGTATAGTATTCGTGACGCCATGGTTCAAAATCGCGCTCCCGTGCGGAGCATGTTGAAAATTTGAACAAAAATCGTGCTCCCGTGCGGAGCATCCTGATAATTTTGATAAAATCGAGTTCCCGTGCGGAGCATTCTCAAAATTTTGCTGAAAATCACGCTCCCGTGCGGAGCATCCTGAAAATTTTGAACAAAATCGCGATCCCGTGCGGAGCATCGTGAAGACTTCCAGCAAAATCGCAGAAAATCGCGCTCCCGTGTCGAGCATCCTCAAAATTTCATCGTTCTTTCGTTCAAAATCGCGCTCCCGTGCGGAGCATCCTGAAAATCTCGAATAAATTGCGCTCCCGTGCGGAATTGCATTCCCTTGCAGAGCATCCTCAAGATTTCGTTGTTTTTCATTAAAAATCGCGCTCCCGTGCGGAGCATCCTGAAATTTTGAAGGGAATCGCGCTCCCGTGCGGAGCATCCTTAAGAAGTCAAAAATGTTTCACCAAAAATTTCGTTCCTGCGCAGAGCACCCACAAAATTCTGTCGATTTTTCATTACATATGTGTGAACTTACATACATACATACATACATACGTACGTACGTACATACATACATACATACACATACTTTCAGCCCCTTGCCCTTCAAATTCTCCACTTTTGCGGTCAGACTGTTTGCAGCTTGCCATTGAAATTCTCCGCCTTTGCGGTTAGACTGTTTGCCCCTTGCCCTTCAAATTCTCCGCCTTTGCGGTGAGCCTGTTTGCCCCTTGCCCTTGAAATTCTCCGCTTTTGCGGTTAGACTGTTTATCCCTTGCCCTTCAAATTCTCCGCTTTTGCGGTTAGACCGTTTATCCCTTGCCCTTCAGATTCTCCGCTTTTGCGGTTAGACTGCTTTTCGGTTAGACTGTTTGCCCCTTACCCTTAAAATGCTCCGCTTTTGCGGTTAGACTGTTTGCCCTTTACCCTTCAAATTCTGCGCTTTTGCGGTTAGATTGTCTCCCGCTTTTGTGGTTAGACTGTTTGCAACTTGCCCTTGAAATTCTCCTCTCTTGCGGTTAGACTGTTTGCCCCTTCTCCGCTTTTGCGGCTAGACTGTTTGCCCCTTGCCTCCAAATTCTCCCGCCTTTGCGTTTAGAATGTTTGCCCCTCACCCTTGAAATTCTCCGCTTTTGCGGTTAGACTGTTTGACCCCTGCCCTTGAAATTCTCCGCTTTTACAGTTAGATTGTTTGCCGCTCACCCTTGAAATTCTCCGCTTTTGCGGTTAGACTGCTTTGCGGTTAGACTGTTTGCAGCTTGCCCTTAAAATTCTCCGCTTTTGCGGTTAGACTGTTTGCCCCTCACCCTTCAAATTTTGCGCTTTTGCGGTTAGATTGTTTGCCCCTCACCCTTCAAATTTTGCGCTTTTGCGGTTAGACTGTTTGCCCTTTGCCCTTCAAATTCTTCGCTTTTGCGGTTAGACTGTTGTCCCCCCAAGATTTGTTCAGAGAATCAAGTCCCCAAAACTCAAATCGCAAGGGGTATCTCCTAAGATTCCTTCCAGAGAATCAATTCCCCAAATCTCAAATCGCAAGGGGTGTCCCCTAAGACTGTTCAGCAAATCATTTCCCCAGTTATCGTTTTGTCTTCTTGTTCTTCATTATTTCAGCGGGCGACGGCATCGTCATATTATTTCACTTAGATTCAGTCAAACAACACATGTGAGATCCTCCAGTCCTTGAATTGTTGTTGTTGTTGTTGTTGTTGTTTTCTGCAGGTCTTGGGGCACTTTGCTTGTGCATCCAGTCGGTCGCTGATGTGTGCTGCCCTGACTGCCTGGCGCGGCCTCTCAGAGCAGACCAAGGCGCCCATGTCGCAGTGTCTTCAGAGAGGCTTCACAACTGCTAAGCTCTTCAGGCTGACGCTGGGCTGCGGGAAATGTATGAGCGCCAGATCGATGAAGCTGAGCGCCACCTTAGTAGCCTGAAGGCACCGGAGGCTTCCCTTTCTGTAGCTGACCTCTTGTTCCAGAAGACTCCAAAGGTGAAGTGCAAGAATATGGTGCGCGAGAGGATCGACAACATGGTCGGCCGCATAGTCGGATATGCTGATGTTCTGCAAACGTGGGTTGGATGTGTTGCCTGCAAGCCTTAGTCGTAGAGCTTGTATTGAGGCAAAGACCATGGATCAAATTATCACCCAGCAGTGGCTGGCACTATGGCAGAATAAGGTCAGCGGGACGCATCTTGATCTGTGCACATTCAGTTGGCTCTTTTCAAAGCGCATGTGAGGTGAGCGCATTGAAGTTGGAGAAAGTGGCACAGGAGCTTTCGGTCTGACCGCTACATGATGTGCTACACGGAATGCTTCTTGGACATGGGTCTTGACGAGCATCAACTGAGTGCAGGAGCAGGTGAACCAAGTGCTGGGAAGGTCAGATTCGGAACTTAACTTGTTGTCGACGGGGCAAGATATGTCGCGTATTCCAGGGTATACAGCACGGCAAGGAAGCAGGCACAGACTGCCTCCCGTGCAGGTGTCTTAGAAGTGGTCGCTTTTCAGCATTTATTATCATTGGCAATTTTGATGGGTTGAGGTCATGACATGCCAAGCCCGTGAGCGAGCAGCAGCGCTTCTTGGTTAGCTTCCCAAAGCTCATGGAATCTCTGGCTCGCCTCCTCTTGTTTGACATACGACACCAGCTGCACAGGTGAGACATGGGCGATGTGGCTCTGCTACGTGTCGGACTGCAAGAAGGAGACTACTATCTTTACACGTGCAACATGTCTAGCACATGGATGGATGTAGTATGTTTGCTGTCAGACGCACTTGTTGGCAGCGCATCCTGTGTGCATGGGCAGCCAGACATTCAATAGCTGAGCAAGAAAACAAATCTGAGCCGCAGCCTGACTCCATGCAAAGTTAAGGTGCAACAAAAAACAGGCAGGTGCAGCAGCCTTGAGCTTTGCTCCATAGAAGTGTCATAAATGCCTAGTGATTTTGTTGGTTATTATGGAACCGGCGGAAGCATCAAACTGTGTCAACTCACCTTCGGCTTGATGCTGCAATGTCCAATGGCGCAGCAACCGCAGCCGGGATGCTGCGCTCGCTGGATGGCTTCGGTTGGCAGGCCCAGGGCACCTTCTTGGCTTTCCTAACGGGGCAAAAAGGGCATTGCAGAAGGCGGCCCGCAAACGCCTCCGCGCGGCACCAGACGTGCGCGAGGCTACTGCATCCTTCTGCCATGCCAGGTTCCAAGCCGTGAGCTTGCAGAGATGGTGTCAGGAACTGGCTGCAGCCTTCCAAAGGGAAGATGAGCTGCAGGAAGAAGTGCAACCAGAGTTTTCGGCGTCCCTGTCTTTGTTGTCAGCAACACAGCTTGGGGCACAGCCGTATGACTTGTTTGTGAGGCCACCGTCCAAGCAACTTGAAAACATGGAGATGAAATGCAACAGGCCCTTTTCCCATGTGTCTCACAAGCACGCTTGGGAGCCGTGTGGGAGGCTGCGCGCCGAGGGCTGCTTCCTTGCTCAAAACGAGCGTTATGCGGAGGCACGAGACATGCAAGTAGCAAATTTTCTTGTCTTCGTAGCGTCAGGAGGAAAACCAGAAGCAAGCAGGTGTAGCAGAAGCATTCGTATTCGAAGTAGTAGACGTCGCCGTGGCAGTCATCGTAGTGGTCGTCAACGTAGCGGCCGCAACAGGAGAAGCAGCTGTCGAATTTCCCAAGATTTCGAGCGAAACTGCACAGCAGCGATGTATCAGACTTGTAATTTGCATATGTGCTGCATAGCTGGAAACGTTTTCAACACCTTGCATGTTCCCAGTAATGCAGAGCACGCTCCTGATGCTGTTTCTTGCCACTGATGCTTTGTACCGCGGCTGCTTGGGTTGGAACCTGGGCACATTGGTCTTCTGTGAAATTCTCTGGATGACTGAAGCGCCTGCATGCAATGGCCATGCATGCTGACTTCCTTTGTGTGCCTCGCTCGTGTCGCCAGCATGCTCGCGGATCCTAGTTGAGAAGCTTTCTTGCATGTTTTCTATTGCATGTTGCGACATCCTGAGCCCCTCAATGGTCCAAATGAATGGAATATGGTTTGCCAGAAGATCATACTTCATTCAAACACAGCAGGCGTGCAGTGCAAAGCGCTCACGGTCAAAGTTCCAGGTTGCCTGCCAGCGTAGCTTGGAAGGCCTTGCAGCACTGGGAAGAAGCCTTGCTCTTCACCGAAGACGTTTGTGAGCGAGCTCCTGTGCTCGAGAGACTCCGACACGTTTGCTTGTTTCTGCAGAGTGCTGTTGCACTTGTGACATGTCAGAATTTCTCGCCAGGCAGATGGCTCAGGTGTTACTGATTCTCGATCGGTCTTTTGACGCAATCAGGACAGACTTGTCTTCTTCCGGGGTGCTCCTCGTGCCCCACTGCCCGGGCATGCAGGACCGCAGAACAGGCTGTAGAAAGCCGGCCGGAAGCTTTGACAGCAAATCTCGTCTGAAATGATCTGCTGGCCTCATCCAGCCAGTGTTCCGATCCAGCTCAATCAACCAAAATGGATCTTAATTTCAGAGCCAGTAGCTTGCAGATCCTTGGTGCACTAGTGCTTGCCATGATGCCAGCTAGGTTAACACAAAACTCGACCGCGGACCTAGCATCCTGCAGAAAGCAATTCCCACAGCCATGGCCAATCAGCGAATGCGGATCCTGGTGATTGCATGCAGCATGCAATGCATGCTACGCATGATGCTTGCTGATATGCAGTGGTTGCATACTCAGCCAAGCCAGCATCTGGTTTGGGATACAGCATTGCTTTGCTTTGACTTTGCAGGTCACCTCTATTTGCAAACCCGTCGATCTCACGAGATCGTGTCTGGTCCTGAGACCATTTGCTTCCGCTTGGCAGAGCAGCAAGTCCTTCTGCTTCCCAGGCACAGCTCAAAATTAGAGCAGCTGGCAGAGGGATGGAGGTTGCTGCCGGCAACCCAGACCCGATGCCACGTGTTGCTCAAGGTCCAAACAACTGCACTGTAGTGTCTCCCCCTTGCACCAAGCAAAGGATGATTCAGACATGCTCCGGAAGCTCAAGGAGTGGAAAAAGACCCGGCCCTTCTCTCAGTGCTACTGATGAGATGCCTACCAGGGCCACAAAAGCAGCAACACTAAGCACAAGGAGCAAAGGCTTCGGGGAGGAGAGGGTGAAGAACGAGGCCCCAGATGGTCCAAATGGCTTGTGAGATGTCAGAAGAGAGATCTTGTGCAGGGCCAGCAAGCAGCAGCGCCTACCCCGGAGCCAATGCCTGCGCAAGTCATGCCCAAGGCATTAGACGTGGGGCCCTGAACAAATTGCTAAACTCTTGGCATTGAGTGGACATCCAGCCTTCAAGCTACGAGACTGCGCTGTAAGGCCGTGTCAGAACTGCTGACCAAGACGTCCACTGCTGAGATGCTTTCAAATCATGATTTGGGATGGCCTTTGGATGCTTTGGCTCCGCAAGACTCTGAGCGTGAGGACTTCAGAGCAAGTGAGCCCGACAGACTTCACGCCACAGCAGTTGGTACGAGCTACTCGGCTTGTCCTGTCGCTCCTGGCCAAACACCTGCCACAACCAGCTCAGGTTTTCTATGCTTTCTTCAGAGGTTGGCGACAAAAGCACGGCCTGCCAGATGCGTTCCAGCTAAGCTCCAAGCATCAGGAAATGGTCCCTTGTCTTTAAGAAGGAAACCAGCTTGCATTTTTCGACGGAGCCTTCATGCTTCAAATTTCCAGGTTGTTCTAATGATTCAGAGCAACCTGTCCCTTGTCAACTCTGCGCAGGACAAAGGGAAGGGGCGAAAAAAAGCTGCAGTGCAGCGCACTGATGTGCTATCCAGTCCAACAAGCCACTGCACCTAATCACCCTTGTGGCATGTGCTCAGGTTTTCATTCTTTATTAAGCATGCTTGTTGACTCTTTCCAGCATGTAAAGCTCAGAGGTCTGCAAGGGGGCTTTGGTTCTGGCAGAAGATTCATAATCAGATTACAAAATTGGAGCCGCAACCCCGATCGTGCAAGAAGCTTAGACCTTTGTTCCTGTTTCTATTTAGAATGCTTCGGGGTAGGCAGAGAACCTGTCTTGCCTTTGTTGCAGGAGTTTTGGCCGCGGATCTGTGCTGAACTGGGAAGTGTCGCTGCTGAATGATTTTGAGGTCACATTGAGTCTCAGCAGCTTGCACGACTGAGCAAACTGTGTGCATTGACATCAAGGCACTCGAGATCCAGAAGCTCGAGAGCTGCTACTTGCGCTGACCGGAGTCTTTGAGTGAGCCCACGCTTTCCGCAGCTGCGCTGACCAGCAGAATTGCAAACGGCGAGCAAAGTTGCAAAATCCAATTCTGCAGCTTGTTTCGGGGTGTCTGCAAGAGAACCGCTTCCTTCACCTGCCAGTAATGTGCAGGCAGCACTTTGCCATGCTCTTTCAATTTGTCACGTTGATGAGGCCTTTGTGGTATGCTGGCCATCTGACTTTGGGCCGCGCACGGGGCCCAAAGCTCTAGGGGATCTACTGTTGGAGTGCTGAGAGTGCGCCGTAGGCCTTGCTGAATTTTGGCGAGCTGGAGAGGGCCGTGGAGTGCCTTCGCGCGGCCCCTGGGATGTTAGCTGGGAGTAGCTTGGCATCAACCTGCTGGCCTGTAGGTCGATCCGCAGCCTTGCTTGAAGAGGACCAGATCTGTGTAGATGAGCTGCACATGTCTGTACGGAGCCTGGAAATGAGGCATCCGCTAACGCCCCCAGCATGGACGGGGAGGCAGAACAGTTGAGCCTGCTACACCGCGAGAGCAAATGCAAAATGCAGACAGATGTCAGGAACTTGCAGAGGTCCGCCTGGAGCTTGCAGAAGCTGAAAAGCTGTACAGGGAGGCGGAAAGTCACGTCCGTGCGTTGCGAACCTTCTGTAGTGAGCCGTGTTTGTGGTGAGTAACTCGAGGTGAGAGACCGTGCAAGCACCACTTCGGACCAGGCCGCCAAGCCCACACGCTTCGTGAATGTTCTTGATTCGCAGCCAACGCAACGAGTTCTGCTTAGGTCATCATCAACGGCCGCGTGGTCGAGTCCCATTTTTGGGAGTGCAGCCTGCCTGTGCTTAAGGGGCTGCACGACGTGCCAGCCTCACAATGGTTGATGACAGGACAGCCCTGCGTGTGACCTACGACAAAGATGGAAGACCGACAACACACTATCCCAGTGGTCCGCTTGGATCTGCTTTGCTTTATCTGCTGCAATGTTGCAGCAAATTCTTGGACGCTGTTGAGGTTGACGGCGCGCTGTCTGACGCATGCCCTCATCCACGCAAAAAAAGCATTGCTTGCGTTGCATGTAGTGGAGGTTTTGCGTTTCCCAGGATCAGCTCCCTACTGTCTCAGGAGCGCGCGTTCCAGCAGGATGTCATGCAGTTCGAAGTGAGAATGAAGGCAGCTAGACGCTCGTGTTGAGTGAGCTACTCCCAAGCTGTGCAGGAGCACCTACGGCAGAAGACACATGAAGCCAGAGCCATCTTCGCATCTCACCCAAAATATCTCAAACTCTGCTACGTGATGGTGAAGCTCTTTTTTGGTGCATGCAAAGGATAGAGTTGGGGGCGCAACCCGAACCGGCCTTCTTGCAAGCGTTCTCTGGGCGTGGGAGTGGTGCGTCACAGAGGCTTGTCCAATTGACGTGCAGTTCAGCTTCCGTGCCGATCAGCCTGGAAGACATACGCACCAGGGCAAGAAGCTGCACAGCATGCAAACGCATTTGGTTGAAGCCGAAGAAGAGCCACTGACTCAGGGACGGAGACTTTGCGCTCGAAGCATTTAGTTTGCTTTAGTAAGGTTGGGCGGCATCAGGTTGCGACAAAGCACCGTTCTCTGCAGTGCATTGAGCTCATGTTGGGAAGTTCAGCCGAAGTAAGTGCTGCTTCTCGGCTTCTGAGGCACAAAGCCGTGCTGACAAGCTGCTGGACACAAGCCTGGTCATCAGCGTGCTCAGCGCCTGGTACAGAGAAACCAAGGCGGTGAGTGATTGTAAACATGACCAGTGGCTTGGCATGGTTGGAGCAGGAGAACCGGCTTGAGAAGTTCTACACCGGCAAAGTGGACAGCAAGCGAAACTAAACCTCAATTATTGGGGACGGTCCTGTGCGTATTCTCTACTGTCATTTGTTGTTCCCAGGCTGGAAGTGATATGGGGATTGTCCTAAATTACTGTCAACACGGGGTCCTATATTTGGGTTCCTATTATAATACGGGGCCCTATATAAATTTCCCCCATTTTGGGAACAGTAATTTCGGGAACCTACCATATACAAACAGCGGAGGCAAGCAGCTCACTGCTGTCAGGGCCTCAGCTCAGGACTCCAGACTCGAAGAGAGGATGCAGAGCCTAGGTACAAACTCTCTTCAAGAGCTTTGCCCGGGATCTAGAGGAGGTGACTGCCGCCATGTACCGCCATGTAGGCTTCTTGCAAGAGGTCCATCTCAGAGCTATAGAGCTCTTCTGCCTGCCTCCCATGGCCGAATATCTGATGGCTTAAGGAAGCCTGAGGTGTTGCAAATTCCAGAAAACATGCCAGCTTATCTCATCCGTCTAAAAGTCTGTCTGCGCACCTACCAAAAGCCCAACACTTCATGTCATACTGCAGCACATGGAGCTATCCGCCACTGTGCAGCTCTCGGCATGCAGCACATCTTTCGCTGGAATCCGAGTGTGCTGCAAGCTGCCAACAGACATGGTGAAAGGCCGTAAGTTATGCTGATGGTGATGAAGAGGCATTAAGTGACCATGTCCAGCGAGATGCAATTTCTCAAGCTTGCCAGGAGTGGCCTTTGCCACCTGAAGTTTTGGCATCGGCAAGAGCCCTGGCAATGCGGCGTATGAAGGAAAAGCCGCCCTGACGACCTTTTCAAAAAAGATGCATAGCCTGTGCAAAGCCTGGATATGATCTGCACCTCATCGAGCCAGGCAGCCCTCGAGTCTGCAGCTTCAGCGTCCGAGCTTTCTCTTTGCAGGCTGGCTATTTGTGGGAGTCAGTTTGCTTAGCTATGTGATGCTATGTGCAACTTTGGCTACAAGAGGCCTCCGAGCCAAGCCCTTCTGGTCGCCTGAAGACTTTCCGGAGGCTGGAACAGACGCCAGCTTGCAATGCGCTCGGAATTCGGATCCGGAGCTCAGGTGGTTGGCGTGTTGGAGGACTTGCGATTCAAACAACTGCCAACATTTGCCGTGGATGGCATACGGACGTTGTCGCAGAGTGATGTCGTGAGGCTTGCGCTCCAAAACTTTCCAAAGAGGTCCTGGCCAAAGCTTGCGCTAGGAGGGTTCGAGCTTGCAATGGTCAGGTGGCATGTCTTGGTTTTTTATTTGGAGGAACGGCCACTGACTTAGTGTTGAGGCCAGTTCCAGCTAGCTTCGGGAGGTCTCAAGGCGCAATGGTCCCAAAGGTGGCTTGTGGACTTTGCACGGCCACAAACATCCCCACAGAACCTATCCAAACAAGTGGACATTAGGCACAAGGCCAAATTGACTGCATCACGGCAAGGTCCAGCCGAGGGAACACCGAAACCTGAGTGTTCTGGGGACAGATTATGTTGTCTAAACGACGTGGATACATGAGCTGGTTGCTTTCCGACGCGAAATAAGGTCCTCCAGCTGCTTGGTGACAGCTCGGAGAGCGAGGACTGCGGATCTCTTCTCAATTCCGTTTTCGGCTGTGCATCCAATGCATCCACTTGTGCGGAGGATGGCTCCCCCTCCAGGAGCAGTCTTTCATATGCGCTGCTGCTTTGCTGCTTCGTGGTCAAGACGCTGCTCCTGCACCATTGAGCTTTTGACTGATCAGCGCACGCAACATGCACACCCAATATGAATCTCAAAACGTGACTTTTGCTGCGCCTTTGTAGCAGTAGCCTGCACAAGGCCTGACGCATACCTGCAGGTTCTAATAGAGGCGAACGCGTACGGTGTATGAGTTTTCAAAATTGTGCTTTTGCAGCCACCTGTTCAGAAATTGGAGCGCTGCATATGCAAAACCAGAAAGCCTGTTGCCGCATGCCGCATATGCAGTTTGATTCCGTATGCTGGGAAATCTAATGTGAAATAATGTGAAGAAGGTCTAGCTAGTGCAAGCACCGTTCTTCCAGCAGCTTTGCCGTTGCGGTCATGACGACAGATTTGCCCCATTCCATTACAGTCAGCAGTGAGCCATGCATGATGCGGACTTCCTCGCGCACTTCTCGTTGGGTACGTTTGCGGCGTGCGGGTGTGGAAAGCATGTCCTCGCCCGACAACTGCACCTCTGCAGAACTGGGCGGGCCGTGGGCTCACGACCACAATGCTTGACTGACAAGGACTCTTGACTCCAAGATACTTCAAGCGAGTCCGCAAAGGTAAGTTTTGTGATATGCTGTTATTGTTTACGCTGTTACTTGTGCCTTGGCATCCGTTGGCTTGCGAGCGATGAGAACGCTTCAAGGTCAGCAGCCGCTCGAGATTGGCTTGGCTTGCGCTTGCGCTGGGTGCCAACATGCCACGCAGAGCAGCTGCTTGGTAGAACAAGGATGATGGGCATGTCAGCACAAAGATCTATGGTGCGAATGTCCTGAGCTAGGTGGCCGAATCCAGCTGTTCCCGTCCTGCGGCAGTTGTTTTTCTGCACGGAAGTGGCGATTCTGGCGAGGGGTGGCCAGACTTTGTTGACATTACGTGTTGGTTGGGCTTTGCTGAGCTTATCCTATTCCCACGATCAGCATTGCTCGTGATCAGGTTGAAGGCGTACCTTCAAGCTGTTGACGGCGATCTTCTTGAGAAGCTATCAAGCCAGGGTGTGAAGACTTACTGGCCAGACAGCGGTTTGCGCCCGTTTTTTGATCCCAATTTGACCGTCAACACATGCGATGCGCGTTCGGCCTGAATTCGCACCAAACTGGTGTGCATCCAGGTATACACTTGCTGGAGGTGAAGTCATGCCAATTTGGTACGAAGCTAGGCGGCCGTAGTTCTGAAACCCCATTAGTTTCAGCATCATACCTTGGAAGATTAAAGGTAATTTGGTGGTGTTGTTGTTGGCAAACTCAGGACCGGAAAGGCCTTCCGCCTACTGCTCCAGAAGATACAGCTTCTGTGGAGGAATCCGTCGCGAGCCTCGTCAGGCTGCTCGACCAGGCATGGTAACAGTTTGGGATGAGCGAAGCGCAATTCCACGTGTGTTGTATATCAATATATCTGACAGGTCAGAGCAGATGGGATCCCTGCAGATCGCATTGTGGTCGGAGGTGGAGTGTGTTGTGCAGCATGTCTTATGTCACCAGTACGTCATATGCTTGTCTTTGAGTGGCAGCCGTCTGAGCGTTATCTGCAAGGCTTCTCCATGGGAGGCGGGATTGCACTGCAGCTTGCCTTGCGGCATCCGGAAAAACTTGCGGCTTCCTTCGTCCTATCGTCTTTCTTGTGCAACAATGCCGCGGTATACGAATCGCTCCAAGCTGAGCCTTTGTTCGCAGCTCAGCCGCTGCATGTGGCCAAGTGGCAGAAAGCGTGTCAGAAGTCTGCGGCTGTCCATTTGGCTAGCGCTGCAACAGGTCAGAGCTGCCCATCCTGATGATGCATGGCGAGGCCAAGGTTTTCTGTCCCTAAAGTTTCAGTTGAGACTCTACCTTTCAACAGGCTGATGGCTTCATTCGCCCAAGCTGGGGAAGGTCCACAGCCAATCGCTTGAAAGATTTGGGGCTGAAGCTCGACTTCAGTTCCCTGCCGGGTCTCCGTCACGAGATCAACCGCAAGGACCTGCCCAACAACACCAATTACATGCTTAGGATTCGGGGTCGTGCTGAAAATCTGAAAGATTCTGAAAAGTAAGCTGTTAGCATTCTTTGCGCCAGAATTCCACACTTATCAGTTTCCCAAGCCAGCGGTCAGCAGAAGCCGGCAGCTGCTATTTTTTGTTCCAACCAAGCCTGCAATTTGCACCTCTATAGATACTGTTTTTGTTCCTTGTGTTCTG